AATAAAATAAGATATTGCACTAACAAAAAAATAAACATGAATTCAGAAATGAACAGAATTTAGCACATTCAGTGCTGACCTTACTAAACACCGGACTTTACAACAAATGCGTTGCGTGATAGATATCTCACTTATGGGTCCACTCACTGTACTTACAGCCGACGTAGCGTCACTGTACTTACAGCCGACGTAGCGAAATAACTTCTAATGTCTCCTTTTCTTTTTTGGTGGCGACATGGTCTCGGAGACTCAGAAGGAGACGCGTGTGCCCAACTAGCCACCGCCTTTTGCAGCTAATCAAAGAACGTCCGACGATTCAACTGACTCCCCCTCCCCCCACCCCCCGATAGCACCGTTCCCACACGGTCTCGGAGGCTCATAATAAATGTCAAACTAAGAATCTTCCGTTCCGCGGACCGCCTGTTGCTGCTAATCAAAGATCGTAGTTCCACGTTCTTTGAGCCAATATGACAAAAATTGGTCGGGACTTTTTCATATCCCGTGAATATTGGTCGGGACATGTCCCTACCGTCCCTACCCAAACCTACGCCCATGCTACAGTTAACAGTACATATTGTCACTTTGCAACGCTTAAAGATAAATATTACCTCCTGTCACCATTAGATACAAAAACTTTATCTTTATAAAAAATATTAAGAAAAATAAGATGTTGAAAAATGTGCATTTTCTGCATGAATCCAGTATCTTGTTACACTCATATACATCAGAATTTGCTTGTGTGCCTGTTTTTTTTGTCTAATTACATGTTTGTTTGTTTTTTTTTTTACAAATTATATGAGATCTTATAATCAAACAGTTACTGAATACTTAAGTAAACATTTCATCAAATACTTGATTAAACTGGCCAGTAATAAAAATAGTTCCAGACCTCATTTTAGGCAGGAAACCTCATCCTGACAAATAAGTTTTCTAATCAATCATGTAAACACGAAGTGGTCCTTTGTTTTAATTTGCTATCTTTTTCACCAATCAACAGTGCGGACCTGGCTTTTTAAATTCTCTCCAAATCCAAACACGATCCATATTTTCAGGACAGGTGGTTGCGATAATCTTGGAGTACGCACAGCGACTGTAACTCAGAGGAAAAACGTGGAAGGAGTAACTCGGGGGGTCTGTTGGACGGATACCCAGGTGTCTCATACATAAGCCCAAATATACATCTTCAATGTAAAGAGGTTTAATGTGTCTGGAAGCCTCAATGAGCTTTTTGGTGAGATCCAAAGACAAAATGTAGCCCAGACCCAAAGCATAGGGAGGGTAAATGCTTTCGCTGAAAATTTCTTGAGGTAAGAACCATTTGGACTTGGGATCCCTCAAGACAGCTGCTCCGTGTGCCACCAGACCGGTCATGTAGTTTGTCCTGGGAGCTTTGAGGAGCAAGTTGACCAGATTGGGAACATTTAGAAACATGTCTGAATCGATTTTCATGGCGTAAGCGGCGCTGGAGCAGTAGGAGTTCAGCCACTCCAGCATCACCATGGTCTTTATGGTCAGGTTCTTGTAGCAGTCCACAAAGTCTCCCTGGATCAGGTCGTGATGCTCTTTGCTCTCCTGCAGCAGCTGCTGGTGGACCTGCTCTGCATCGTCTCCAGTCTGCATCCCCAGCAGGAAGAACAGCGCCACCACCTGGTTGTTAGCCAGCTTCTCGCTTCCCCAGCTGTTACGGATGACGTCGCGATGAGCTCGGTTGCGTGGCGCCACTTGTACCATCAGAACCACAAACGGCTTCTCCTGCTTACATTTCAGTTCCTCGTTGATAGTGAAGTGGTACTCATAGGGGTACTCCACCAGGTACGGTCCAGGAGACACATAAGGAGCCGCTGTCCGCTGGCCAGTTTGGGTTTCTAGTGTCTTCTTGGTGACCCGTGATGAAACTGTCCTGTGCCGTTGAGTCGGTGGCTCCTGCGTTGTGGTGACGCTCGTGGTTTCAGGAAGTTCAGCAGTGGTGTTTCCATCTGGTGACCCAGTAAATCCTTTGCTTTTGGAGACAGTGCTTTGTTTTCCAAACACAGTGAGTAGTTTCACTGAATGATTCTTCATCCACTCTTTGGGGTCCCGGATGTTGGTGCAGTAGACAAAAAGCACCACTCCGAGAACCAGAAGTAAGAAAAGACTGTGCCGCCGCGAGAAGCCAAAACATCTCCTGTTTTCTGCTGGTCTGACGCCATTCTCCATTTTCTGGCTTAAAAAGTGATTTAAAAATAAAATACTTTAGTTGTCAGTAAAAGTTAGTCAATTGCTTGAGTACATTTGCTAGGATAAACAAAGTGATGTTATGCCTTCATGTTCTGTTATTCAATAAAGACTTATTTTTTACTTTGCCACTAAAGGAGAAAGTCTTATTTTTGTCAAACTAAGAAAGCAGCAAAACCATTTAAAGGAGCTACATACCTTTGTCCAGCCGTAGCTGAGCAGCTCTCCCTTGCGCTGCCCAGACTTTTAATTTGGGTGTCAGTTTGAGTCCATTTGCAGAGGGAAGTGTTGCTCCGTTAAAAAATGTATGCCTCAGCTTCAGCATTCTGTTGCACCCATGTGTGAGCCTCACCTGCTCATTATGAGCCACCTGAGCTTCGAGAAGCCAAGAGAAAAAGGGGAAAAGTCAAAGATATTTTCCCTGTAGCTCTGCTCTTCAGGTAACCATTGTTCTGGTCAAATCTGCAGGTCTGCAGCCGCACCTTTGTTTGCTCCACCTCCTCCTAAATGCTCAGGAGGCCCTAGTAACACCTCCCATTATCTGAGGTGGTGCTTGTTTGAGCCAGGCGTGACGCTTTGCTGTTATGGGCTGTAGAGCAAGACGTGAGCCAGGAACTCTGGGATGTTTTGCTGCTGATTCCTCAGACTCATTTACAGTAAATCCACAGAAATATACATTTTTAAATTAATACAAATGTGTATTTTAATACAAACGTTCCAATTTGTTTTGGGAAGTGTCTTCACCACAAGTTCTCTAAAATCATTCAGTTTGCACAGTAATGTTTTTGCACCTCTTCATCATTTCTACAGTCGATTTCGTAAGAATTTGTACAAGTAAAAAAAAAATGTTGAAATTTGAGGAAGTTCCTGTTCCCCTTTTTTATCATTTTACACAAACTGCATCTGTAAGCAGTTTGTGATGCTGAGAATAACATTTAGAACTGAGTCTGCTGATGCCGGCACTAATGACATCTGAGTCCTCCGATGTCTGAGTTTCGTCTGGCTCGGAGGAAGCGGTTTTACCCAGAACAGGTCTAGACCTGTAACGCATTTGATGAAAAAAACAAACAGGAGTTTTGAAGATTTATGATTTCTTTCAAGATCTCCAACACGATAAGGTTCAGCCTTTGGACTGCAGCCTTGATGGGAGGGCAAAGTCTGGCGGCTCTTCTGCAGTAGATGCAAGTCTCTGACCTGCTGCTTCAGTTTGTCTGATGACATCTGTGGCTTTGGTGTAATCTATGCAAATTTTACTGCAAATAGCTTTAGTTTCCCTTTTATTTTTTATTCCATAGCCGACTTTTATTTTTCAAGTCGGCTATGGTTTTGGGAAGTTTTTTTAATTCTATTTCCTTTTGTAGCCCAGCCCTTATGTTTGGCTTTCTTGGTTACATTTTATCTAAGGTGTAACCACAGTAAACACATGTCTACGTGTTTATTTTGTCTGAATTATGTGCTTGTTTCTATACTCTGCCTCCCATTTCTGACACCTACCTGCAGTTGATCCATTTCAAAGCCTATTATCTTCTCCATAATTTTCCCTCTTCTAAGAGGAAATACATTGTTATAGAAATATTTTAGCTTTCTGGTTTTATTGTCAGTCACAGCAGAAACAGTCACGTCCAACCGGTCAGGGCCATATTTTCTTTCACAGCTAGACAGATTAAGAGGAAACTCTATTATCAAAAAGTATGAGGGTAGCTTTCACCTGATTTCAGCTCACGCTTGAGTTTGTCATTTTAACCAGATTTTGGTAACGAAGACCCTCCAAAACATTACTGTTATGTACAAAATAATTCTAAAAACATGCAAATCAAGCTAAACCTTTCATTAATTTCAGTCTAGCTTTAACTTTAGCATAGCTTAGCTTTAGTTATTTTAACTGTACACAGTAAGAATATACAGTAGAGGAACAGCAAAACAAAACAGGAAACAAAGATATTTTCTATAAAGTTTAACATTTAGCCTAGCTTAAGTCACAGCTTTAGCTAAATGTAGCCTTAGGTTAAGTTTTACCAAATTTTAGCAAACTGTAAGTTTAAGCAAATGTTGAAGCTAAAAAGATTTTTGTGCTACACATGAAACAGGGGAACTAATTACATGCAGATCAGGCTAAGCTTTGTTTCAGTTCCACCCAGTGCAGTTTCAGTTTAACTATAAACAGTAAATACAGTAATATTTATATAGCAAACCAAAAACAGCAAAGACATTTTACATCAAGATTAGCTTAGCTTTAGTCAGACTTTAGCTAAATCTAGCATTAGCATAGGCTTTACCTTAAGTCAGCTCAAGTTCAAGTTGGTAATTTTAGCCAAATTTTGGCACCAAAGTGAGCCTTAAAAAATAGTGGTGCATACAAAACAAATTGAATGTAGATCGAGCTGAAAGCTAAATTAGCTTTAGATCTGTTGTAAGTGGCTAATAAACAGTTAATTGTGTTACAATAATAAACAGTGTAAAGTTTATTATTGTAACTTTATTTGCATTTGTGAACAAAAACTCTTGTAAAATGTTTATGAGCATCATAAAATCAGTTATCAGTGCATGCCAATAGCATGCAGCCAGCATCACCACCTCCACAGGTGAAGCATGAGTCACCGCCTCTACTGCAGGTACATGTTGTTTGCTTAGGCAGGTCTGGTTTCTGAGAAGCTGTGAAAGCTCTGTAAAATCCCTCCCAGTTTTTGCCCACAGAGGATTGACATTAGGGTTCTTAGAACTGCAGAAGCAAAACACAGAGTATTCAAGGAAAAAGAGGTGTGGAGAATAAAAGGAGAATACACTAACTTTCTACTAATACTGCTGCTTTGCATTAGACAAATATATCCTGTGGAAATACAAATAAATTATTTCATTTATCAAGAATAAATGTAAAGCAGCCTGTAGACTGCAGGTAGGCAGTCAAAAAAACACTGCAATAACATGAATGAGAGGAATTAACAAAAGACGTGTCCTAATTATAATAATTAGTGAATTGAAACTGAAAAGGTAAAAATGTGTGGGGAAAAATAGAACAGTTGGAAAAATGTTATGATTAATCCAAATTAAAAATGTTAGAAATGATTAGATGCATACTTGTGAAATACTATCTGGGGAAGTTGTAGCCACATTGTGGAAATTTTCCACACAATGATTACAAGACTTAAAGGGGCAGAATCCTGTAAAACCGACTTTTTTAAAACTTTATATCGTGTTGTAAAGTGATTCACTCATCAGTAAAGTGATTCACTCATCAGTAAAGTGATTCACTCATCAAAGCATACCTTGAGTATGATTTGATTCTTTGATTCTTTGATGCATGTTTGACAAATCATTTCATCTAAATGGCAACCATTCAACTGCAAAACGCCTGGGTGGATCTAGCCCCGCCTTTGAGGTGCAGCTCCTTCAGACTAGCCAGAAGATATTAGCAAACACTCGACGAAACTTGCATCAGCAGAGACCATAGAAGCTTCTTCTCAGTGAAACGCTGGTTAAAACACTAAAGGGTTAATAGAGGAGCCATGTTAGGATGACTTTCTGATGGCGGAGCTTCTTAAAGAGACAGGCCCAATTTCAATGCATTACGTTACAAAGTAAAAACTTTTGAAAGTCATATTTGATATATGTAGCATTTTTATAATAACTGAAGGTAACATAGTTACTTGATTAATCTATAAACACAACACTGGCCCTCTACACATCAGTCAGACTTACAAGACGTCTGTTTTGTGCACAAACCTTGTGAGAGAGAACTGATTTTATAACCTTTATTATTAGCTAATGTTATTAGCTTACAGTTATCACCTTGTAATATTAGTGAAACCTTACTGAAATGGTTGATTTTTCAATGGTAACCAGAGAGAAATTCTGTTTGTTTTTCAAACTTTATATACTTTATATTTTAACTTTATATTTCATATGGATAATTGGTCTTGCTATGTGTATAATTGTGTATTTCTATAAGCAGTATTTTATATATATATATATATATATATATATATATATATATATATATATATATATATAAAATAACTATAAAACAAATATAGAAATATATTAGACATACACTTTCATCTCGATATAGGAAAACAAAAAAA